GCTTTCAGTTTCTTCCAAATTATTCAATCCAATCCAAAAATTATCCAAAGGTAAATCTAAAATCCAGTTCTATAAAATAAATAAATAAATATTTAACAAACAAACAAACAAACAAACAAATATTTGATATATTTGAAACACCACCATATTTAACATATCCAACAATCTGCTTTTCTTTTACATGGTACATTTCCCTCTTTCTCTTATATGGAACACCTATATAAAATGTGACAAATACTTTGTACTTATATATTACTCTGGATATATCTGAAATCACTAACACTGCCAATATTCCTATTAAATAATATTATTGCTCAGAGCACTTAAATTAGTTGTGAGGTCATGAGACTTCTGAAGAAAAATGGTATCTGAACCCTGGTTTACTGAATTAACTATTGCATGGGGCTGAATAGTAATGATAAACTAACTATACTCACTGGGTTTGCCAACAGAGTGTTCCATAAACTAGCCAACCATACTTTAACTTACTGTGGTGTATAATTCCGACCTGTATTTTAAGACTGCAGTATTAGCATGCTATTAAAGTCATACTATCATGGCCTTACCAATTCCTCTGTCATATAAGCATCCCAGCCAGGTGCAGCATGATTACATAGGATAGTAATTCTGTAAGGCATAAATGTCAATATTACACTTGAGCTTAAAATTAGGAGAGCTGGGGAAAACGACATTTTACAAACGTATCCTCTAGCTGCTACCTCTTCAAGATGGGCTTAGCAACATATGGCAATCAGACTCCCCCTTGCTATACGGTGATGTTTCTCCATTTTTAAAATTCAGAATATGCCAACATGAGGCCTGCAAGTATTGTATATTGCTCCTGCTCTCATTCTGAAGAACCATAATAATGCCTCATAACTATCAAAAACCAGTACCATTACAGAAATGTCTTTCAAGACAGGGAAAACTACCCTCTCACTCAAAGCTGTCAGTGGCTGTACTAACAACTCTGAGAACTGTGTCCACTTCTTTGACACTCATGAAACTCCTTCCAGATAACAGGACAAGGCCTTGCTTCAATAGGATTTGCCCAGCTGGAGTCCAACTTGGAGCAGATTTGAGTAATTTTATCATCAACTGTCTCATATAACCTTTATATCAGTCCTTGGGATGTCTCTCTGAGGTTTTTTTCACTCCATAAACTCAAAAAGAATGAAAAAATAATTGTGTTTTATCACTCATATCACCATAATGTAGTCCTAAATAAGCTCATACAAGTGTCTAGTCAGATTCACTCCTAGTCTTTCTCCAGTGACAGTCTAGATACTTCTTCTCCTGCTTTATTTCCCAGAAGTCCACCGTAAAATAAGGGGCTCCCAGGATCAGAGTACAGGTAGAGGCTGCTCAGGAGCATTCTGATCCAGGGCTACTGTCACCTACTTATTTCAAATGGTGACTAAGGCTTTGGTTAAACTGCCCATCAAAACCTCAGAAAAATCCCCAAGCACCCACTCTAAACCAAACAGATCCATCAGTTTGCATGCATGTAAAGGACACGCTTAAAGAAACAAAGTCTAAATAAATATTTATATTATGGTTGTCCAAAATACTCCATGCTTGAACCATTCTATCCATGGAACAGCTAGTTTGGGGTAGTTTGTGTTTGGCCCAAAATACAGGTATTTTGTCTGGGACCAGACCCAAAACACTCATGTTCTAGGTAGAAGTGTTTTAGGAACAGAAAAGCAGGAAAAAATCAAGGCCATAAGAAATAGTGCACTGTGCATCTGGTCTGAGGTAGGGAAAGGGAGGTGTTGGCAACATCAGGAAGGGAGAACTCAGTAGATATGCTACAACTGCTACATGTTCATGCCATCCTTGAATTCACCTGGTCTCCCCTCCCCACAATTTTCACTGCACCTTGCTCTGCTTCCTTTCCCTTACTACCACCCAGGAATTCAAGCACAGCATATCCAGTCTACCTGCCTGCCCCACCCCGAGGACCAGATGAATTAGATGGACACATCACACATAAATTCAAGGACAGCAATGTGTAGCAACAACCAAGGAGAAGTAGGGAAATGAAGGCACTAGGAAAATCAGCCTACCATCCAGTCTATTCTGCACAAGCCAGACATCCAAACTCTTTTAAAGCCCAAGTCATGAAAGTTGGCTGGGTAAGTTTGGGCCAGTCACATTCTCTCAGCCCAACTCATCTCACAGGGTTGTTGTGGGGAAAACAGGAGGAGGAAGGAGTATTAGGTATGTTTGCTGCCTTGAGTTATTTATAAAAATAAGAAAGGCAGGATTAAACAAAATCTAAATCTAATCTAAATCTAAAATGCATATAGGGACCAGCACCTGGCAAGAAATTAAAATTTCTATATTAAAAAAAAAATAACAGTGTAAAAATGGCACTATTCCAGGAGATCAACACATTCATGATTTTTAAAAAAGTAGCCTGTCAATCAGGACAGAATTCACAGGCAGGCTGACCAATTTCCTTCCTACTTCATCTAGTTTCCCTCCTCACCCCCACCAATTTGTCAGTCCAGATTCTTTGGTTCATTTGGTTTTGATACTAGTATAGCAATCTCCTGGAAGATTGGTATTCGTTTGGAAATTGTCAGTCTTCCAGAAAATCAGTATTCCTATGTTACAAACAACAATAAAAAGCTACACAACCACTATCCAGTATCTCTTGCAGCCCAAGTAAAAAAGATTACCACAGGATGCAGTGTCCAACAACTGGATGTCAGGGGTGTGCTAACAGGATTCCTGCCCCTGAAAGTGCCATTGCCATACTCACTGGAGTTGGGCGGCCAATAAATTTAAATAAAAAATAAATAAATAAAATGGCAAGACTTGTGTCAAGAGAAGAAAACTCTGCTTCAACAGCAGAATTAACGATAACTTTAGACTGCTTCTGCAAAAGCCTGGGGATGAGATGGAGATGAAGTTATGAGGACACGTTTTTAAAAAGAGTTATCAAGACATCTTCATGTAAGCTGATGTGAGGATTAACCCACGTTATTATTTTCAGGCTGTTTATATACAATTTACTTATACTTTTTATCTATGTTACAAACTGTCCTGAGAATATGATTACAGGGTGGCACACAAATAATATTTATTCAACTTACTTTTTCCTGAATACTTGTAAGTATCACTAACTCTGTAGATCTATATCTCTTGCAAAACTTCAATGCTTCGGTCCAAGTCCCCTCCTGATTTTCTTCTAGACAATAACAATTTCCATTCCAATAGTGCCAGCATGAGGCTTCAGGACAAGTCAGTCTGAATCTGGCTTCAGGTGAGAAAAGAAAGATAGAGGAACTTATATAATTATAATATTTTAGCTAAACTGAAAATCTCTTGCATTTATACAATCTTTGTTCCTCTGAAACACCAAATATTTAGCTGCTTTAGTCAGATTTTTTTACTTAACATTTCAGACAAGAAAACTAATTTAAAAAATTGTATATAACAAATTGTAATAAATGTTTCTTGTCTCTGAATTTACATACCTTCTTGGCAAAACATGACTGTGACTTACAACAATAAAACACAGAAAACAGAAATGTGTTAAAAAGTATTGCAGAAACTGAAGAAAACTAGCATTCTTTAAAATTCAGAGACCTAGAAGAACTTACATTTGGCTTTCTTGTTCCTAAATGATTTTAAAGAGAGACAGTTTGGTGTAGTGGTTAAGGCATCAGGCTAGAAACTGGGAGACCATGAGTTCTAGTCCCACCTTAGGCACAAAGCCAGCTGGGTCACCTTGAACCCATCACTCTCTCTCAGCCCCAGGAAGCAGGCAATGGCAAGTCACTTCTGAAATCTTGCCCACAAAACTGTGGGGACTAGTGCAGACAGTTGCCAGGAGTCAATACTGACTCAAAGGTCATCCATTCATATATATATA